ATAATAATAGATAAAAAGTATAAGTTAAACTATACAGTTCTAAAATAGATATTTTATTAATTCTAAAGAATAACTCTTTTAGAATAAATAAAAATCTTTTTCTTTTAAATATATTAATTACTTAGAATAAGTAATAATATAAATAAAATATGTTCTAACAAAGCTATAAGCGTCTAGCTAGGCTTATAACCTGTAAAGAATAGATAAGTAACAAGAACTATTCTCTAATAATAGAATATAGCTTTGTTAGAACAAAGTAGTTAAATACTATAATTAATAGTATTAACTAATAAAGATTGCAATAAATAATTGCAGAGTAGATAATAAGTAAAAGGTAATAATATTATTACTAGGTAAAGAATAACTATAGAGAATTACTATTTCTTTTATAAAAAATAGCTACTAGAATAATTGCGTAAATATCCGCCTATTTCCGCCTAAAGATAAAGATTTATAATTAAATCTACTTAATTCCTAGATTTATAATCTAAGTCCGCTAAATCCTTTTTATCTTCTAGATTTATAATCTAGACTAGTACTAATTATATTAGTCTATGTGTTGTATTGCATAGACTAATAATTAGTTTATTACTAGATCTTTTAGCAATTACAGAAAGAGAGATAAGAAGATAAGAGTTATTAAATTACGTAATAACTCTAATATTAACTAGGCTAAGATAAATAGAGGTGTTTTAGAATCTCCTAGTGTAGTAGATTAAAACTAGCTACTAAAATCTTAATTACGTAAGCAATTAGATTTACTAGGAATTTTTCTAATTTGTTAAGAAATTACAATAAGTGCAATCTTAACAAAGCTTAATAATAATAAAAAAGATAATAATAACTAAGTTATTATAATCTTTACAAAAACTAGCTACTAAAATCTTAATTACGTAAGTAATTAGATTTACTAAGAATCTTTCTAATTTGTTAAGAAAATAATAATAAGTATAATCTTAATAAAGCTTAATTATAAAAAGATAATAATAACTAAGTTATTATAATCTTTATATATTACGTATTCTACTATAAGCTTATTAATAAGCTATTATTACTCTATTATTTAAATTATCTCTCTTACTTATATTATTAGTCTAATTTTAGATTTATAGTTATTATTATTATTAATTACTAGTTTATATAAAAGCTACTATAGATATAGTTTAGAGTATAGTAGTAAGTAGAATAATAGTAGAGAAAGTAAGACACTTCTTAGCTTTAAGCTTAAATAGCTTCTCTACTATAGTTAAAGTATATAGTATTTAATTCTTATATTAATAGATAAGTATCTTATAAGTTATAAAGTTCTTTTAATAATTAGTTTATTTAGAACTTCTACTAGTAGTAATAAGATTTAGCTAGCGTATATACTATACTCTAGTATACTTTTTTATAAAACTACTTATTAGTATAGTAAAGATAAAGCCTAAATAGTAGATATTAATACTTTTAGATATATTAGATATATAGTATTATACTATATTATTTTTATTAAACTTAGAGAATAACTTAGTATAATAGTATACTTTAAGTATTATTTCTTTAAACTAGTAAACCTTTATAAAATAGTTTCTAAGATTAAATATACTTAGTCTATACTTAGTAATAACTATAGTAAATTTAGTTATAGTAAATATAAAATAGTTTATATATATTTTAGAGATAATAAGAGCTTTTATAATTAATATACTTACTATATTAATAAGTAGATAGAAGATATAGAAGATATAAATAATATAAAGAATATAGAAAATAAAGAAGATAAGAGAAAAGAGAAAAAGAAAAGTATAAAATTTTACTTTTTATAACTATAGCTAAAGAGTCTAGTATAATTATATATATAAAACTCTTTTACTATCTTAGAATAGCTATTACGTAATAAATTTAAGATTATTTATATAGTATTAAAAGCTTAAAACTACTACACTTTACTACTTTTTTACTTAATAGTCTTATTTTAAAAATAGCTTTAAATACTTTCTAGACATTTATTACTATTTCTCTATAGTTATAGTTTTTTCTACTTTCTACTTTTATATAGAGCTTTTAAAAAGTAATAAGATATATATATAACTTCTAAATACTCTTCTAAGTATCTTTATACTTTTAGAGTTAGAGTATATAAAATATATAAATATACTTCTATATTTTTTTTTTACAGAAACTAAGTTTATAAAGCTTAGAAGCTTTAAACTCTATAGCTTAGTTTAAATTACTAGAACTTTTAAAAGAATATATACTATAGTCTACTATAAAATAAAGTATTTAGAAAATATACTTATATTATAATTATATACTATACTACTTAACTATATTATATCTATATTTTTATACTAGTATACTTAATAAAGTAATAAAAATACTAAAGCCTAAAATAGTAGAAATATAGTTTTCTAGCTTACTTTATATAGTAAAATATTGTAAATTAAATTATAGCTAAAATAAACTAATATAACCTTTATTAAAAGTTAATAGAATAGCTATAATATTATATCTATTAAGAAATAGATACTCTAAGACTAAGTATAGTATCTTAATTACTACTAGTTTTTAAAAGTTTTTTTTTTACTACTATATAATTAAAGTATATAAATATATCTAGTTATAGTTTAAATAAGTACTAGTATTAATAGTAATATATACTAAATATACTAGAATTATAAAGTTATCTAGCTATTCTAAGATAATTTAGAAGCTAGATATTATTTAATATTTTTTCTACTAAATAGAGTTTATAATATAATGTAAAGGTACTATAGTACTATTAGTATTATATACTAATAATTTTAAAGATATAAAATATTCTAGCTATTCTAATACAACTTAAAACGTAAGTATTTTTAAAAGAAAATTACTAAATAAAGTTTATTACTTTATTAAATCTACTAGTATAGAAATATAAATATTACGTAGTTTAGTAGTATAGTACATAATTATTATATAAGTATATTTTCTAAAAACTTTATTCTATAGTATATAGTAGTATATATTCTTTTTAAAGTTTTAAAAATTAAAATTAAGCTATAAAGTTTAACTCTATTTAGTTTTATATACTTAGAAAGAAAAATAAAAAAGTTTATATTTTATATATCTTATACTAAAGACGTAAAAGTACTTAAGTATTATATATATATCTTATTACTTTCTAGAAGCTTTATATAAAAGTAAAATGTAAAAAAAGCTATAATTATTAAGAATTAGCTATAAATATCTAAGAATATAAAGTATTAAAAACTATTTTTTAAATAAAGTTATAAAGTAGTAATATATAGTAGATTATAACTCTAAATCTAATATATAATAGATATTTTAAGTAAATAAAAGAGACTTATAAAAAAAACTTTATAAAGAAAAGCTTAAAAAGAAAAGTTTAAATATATATCTATACTAGAATTTTACTTATAGTTAAAAAGTAAAAAAGTCTATATTTAGCTTTTTTTTTTTTTTTTTTTTTTTAATATTTTTTATATCTTCTAGATTTACCTTTATATCTATTTTTTAATATATAAATTTATAATAATAAGAATAATAATAATAATATTAATCTATTAGACAATTTTCTAATATATCTTTAACTAAATAGAGTTTATAAAATTAGATATAAAGTGCTAACTCTAGTAATATAGTACTATCTCTAAAATTCTTAGTATAAATAATAAAGAATTAAAGAAAAAATGTTTAGTATTTATAGCTTATCTTCTTTTACTTAATACTATTTCTAAGATAAACGTTATAGTTTTATATTAGACTACTAACTTATACTATAGAATTAGTAGCTTATAAATTTAATTATATATTATAAGACTATATTTATTGTGTAACTCTAGGCCTAAATACGCTAGAGCTAATTCTCCTGTAAACTCGCCAACGCCTTCTTCTTCTGCTCTTCACCCATAGGTCGCGGTAGTAGCCCAGGATCCGGGTGCCACAGTTCCTCATACGTCGCTTTTGATCCATCAGCATCCTCGAGTTCTGGTGTGAGCGCGCGATAGTCTGGAGGCACGCGGTCCAGGAACGCCTTCACAAGTCGCGGACTCAGACCGACTGCATCAAGGACTGCACGATCCGCCGATAGATTCCGTAGAACGCCATCCTTGCCCAAAGAGATGACGCTTAGTGCAAGAGGATCTTTGTTGAATTTGGCGAGGATTGCGGTGATTTCTTGCTGGTCAGGTGTGTTGCGATCGTATGTGTGAGGTTGGTTTGGTGGTGCTTCTGATGAAAGAGGCTCTGATGGAGCTTTTGATGGAACTTCTGATGGAATATTTGTGGTCATCGTTTGCTAGAGCAGAGTCTGCAAGGTAGTGTTTGAGGTGTGTGGGTAAGTTGTTGCTGCTCAGTTTGCAGGTGTGCTGCAGATAAGCATGCCAAAACCGGTGAACAGCCACATCGACATTGGAAACGCGTCATGTGTGCTGATCGCGATCATGCGGGAACTTGGCAAACCAAGATGGATTTCCTTCCCGCTGAGTCGTGCATTGGTTTACATATTACGATATCATTGGACGATTTCCTGTAGGCTAATTGTCTATGGACGAAGGAGGTGGTTGAGTTGAACCTTGTTGTGAAGAACTGGAGTGTGGCTGTGGACGTGCAAGTCATGGGATGGGTAACATCACTGCCTGATATTCTTTCTGATCATCACGAAAGACTGGTAACGAAGCTGAGAAACCGCAGTATCACTAACAGGTTCGTGTGCTTCACTTGGCGCACCCACACTTGATGGGAGTTCAGCTTCGAAGAGTATTGCTAAGACACGATGGAAATAAAGTGAATGAGAAGCTGCATCACAACCCCAGAAGCACCAGGACGAAAGAAAGTGGGATGGGCAGTACAACAAATAGCATTTTGCATCCTCAAATATAGTACTATGCCAATGATCAAGACAGCCTGGTATCCCGCGACGCCATACGATGCGCAGCCCATAAACCCTTGACCGGGATGCGCGAGAGCCCAAACGCCAATACAGTTACTCTGTACAGATATCATCATCTTCGTATACAAGTCATCTCCCCCGTTCAAGCACTTGGCCCACTAGCACCAGGAGCAGCATCCGCTTCATTCCTATGTGACCCTCCTTGTTGTGCCGAACTTTCATCAGCTCTTTCTCTCCTGGAGCGACCACTGAAGACATCGCTTAGTCTGGCACTAATGCGCCTATTCCTCCTGTCGCGCGCGCCATCGACATCCTCGGTACTCGCGTTTGCACTGCCACCTGCTACATCACCACTTTGGTTCCTCCGCTGTTCTCTTAGGCGTCTTAGAGCAGAGATGCGCTCTTCGGGTGAGGCGTTCGGCCGTTGACGGAGCGACAGTATGTCGAACAGCGCGGTACGGCGGCGATGGGATGTGTCGCCTTCGGGGTTGAGAGGGGGAGCGAGTTCATCTTCTTGCGATCCCGTTGAATCGCGCGAGTTGACTGGGCGGAGGTCGACCCGGCTGGCAGACATTAGTACAATGTTTGTGTGTGGGGTTGAGGAATGACATACCATAATGGACATGTGCCGGACACGTTCAGCAACCATGGGTCCACGCATTCTGGATGGAACTTGTGGTCGCATGGAAGAACGCGTAGATCCTGACCCTTTTCAAAGTCTTCGGTACAGATGGAACATCCCAAACCTTCATCTGGTGAAGCATTGTCGGTACCCGCTGCCGCACCTGCGGCAACAGGCTGTGCCGGCGCGATGCCCGATTGCTGCTCTTCCGCGGGATCCGTTGTTACGACATGTGCTGTCTCAGTCGCACCAGGCACAGAAGCTGGAGCCGTATCGTGCTGGGTCGCAGCTGTCCCTCCACTCGCTTGCGCTTCCGTGTCCGTGTTTACGCCATTCACATCCCGTGTTTCTGCCGTCGAGCCCAGTTCGACATCAGCGGGTTTCGCCGGCTCCTTCTCACCAAACTTGACGATGGGTATGGTGTCCAGGATAGCTCGTCCCAATCCCCTTGCTCTGCTCTGTCTTGGTCGTCCGAGTACGTTTCGAGGGCCGTATCGCTCGGGGTGGCGATGCGCGCGGACGGCGCCGGTGATGATGATGACGAGGAACAAGGCTGTGATGATGCCGGTGATACTGTATAGAATGATCATGGCGACGGCGGTCGAAGGCGATGGTCCCAAGGGGTTCTGCTGGTATTGGCCGTTGCCGGAGTCGTTGTTCCCCTCGTCCCGCGCCTTGACTTGAACGAAGTATTTCATAGCTGCCGGCATGTCGATGATGTCGTTGCGCACTTTTGCCGAGTCTGCTCTGTTCGTCATCGAATATATGGCGAACTCATCCATCATGACCTGTGTTTTGTCCTGAGTGTAGTTGCAGTAGTCTGACGTCCTGCTATACAGTATAACTGCCGAGATGTTGCCTTGCAGGTAGGTTTGTTCGAAGACGCCCTGCGCAGTGTCGTAGCCGTTGTAGTCGGTGGAGTCGCAGCTGATGTATGCGATTTCGTCATTGGATATGCCGACGACGCTGGTGTAGTTGGTATTGTACAGATTGCCCTGGACCTAGTGCTTTGTCAGTGCATGAAGGCTATGCGACGAATAGTGTTTGACGAACTGAGTTGGCGGCATCCTTAGTCAATGGGATCAGGTCGGCTATCCTGGTCCCGTCGTCGCCCTGAGCGGTAGTGAGCGGCAGAGTGCCGTCGTAGAGATTTGTACGCGCGGTAGACGTGTTAGACGAGGATATCGTGGCCGTGGCGACGGTCGCGAACGCAAGACACGCCAATCGCGACGGCAGGCAGTGCGGTCGCACGAGCAGCATCTCAGGGTCTATGCTGTCTATGATGCAACACTGGGTAGCAATATCGCTCGCTCAGCAGCGAACGGCTGACCGTCGGCCTTATCGATGACCAGCACACCAGGCCCGACGCCTCATGGAGAGAAGATCTCGAGCGCGGGGTGTGGCTTCCGCTGTCGCGCGTCTTTGGCAAAGCCCAGGCAGTTCAAAGCGAGTATACGACAAAGCTAATCCCGCGACTGCGCACTACCATATCGCGCGCGAACACCAAACCGCGACATAGAAATAGACGGGGCAGAGAGGGTCGATTGAAGCCTCGACGGAGAGGCGCGGACTGCCATGGCGTATCGATTGATCTTCACACGCCCGCTGACGCCGGCGACCCACTGTAATCTGCCACTCCGAGACTGCCGCACCATGTGCGCGCACCCTCCTCTCCAATCCTCCCACGTTGGATCGCCGGGGCGCCCCACTCCATGCGCTGCGACTTGCGGACTTCGTCGCATCGTGACCTGTAAGATATACCCGCCTCACTCCGCGCATCTCGACTTCGCACGCCCATCGCAGGATGCTGTGAAGCCGTCGTCACCTGCATGGCTGAGCAGCCTTCACGGACCGACTTCATGTGTTTTGAAAGCTATAGGCTTCACGTAGACGACTATGCGAAACACGATGTTCGAGCACATCCTGATCAAGTTTCTGTCAGCAGCCCGAATTATGAGCTCATGCATATCATTTCTCTGGTGCCGCACCGGAGGAACATTGCACGCTGCATGGGCTGATCATCAATCACCGCTCGACCTGCATGCAGCCCAACATGAATTATACTTCACAGATCAACAGAGCATCTTCATGTCAGATTACGTGGCAGTCTTGCCACTATTTGTGCGTTTCATAACTAATTATTCCCAATATAAAGTTTTCCTCAAACGCCTGCGCTATGTACCTTTTGTGCAGAAACCTGCCCATTGCAAACACTCATTAACATTCTTCTAACATCCCCCTCCATACCTCAATATCACAATGAAGCTTTTCAGTACGCCACGCCACTGCGACCTCTTCCAGGTGTCTTGAAAGTCATAGACTGCACCTGCTGCTCGACCAAACCCCCAAGCGCCAGCGTGTCCATCGGATCAACGCCCATTTTCTGGAAGTCGTTGAATCCGGACAGGTAGAAGCCAGCAATGACCACGAGATACGACAAGATAAGAATAGAGCCCTTGAAGTAGTTGCTCTTACCCTCGCCGTACATGTACGACAAGAGAAAGACGCAGAGGATGACGGTAACCATGTCCCATTGCGGGAAGATGAGAGTGAACGTCTGGCTGGCAACGTCCTGAGCCGGGATGTAGCCTGTGTGAATGGCGCTGTAGAACACCAAAGCGGGAATCTGGAGGAGACACACTTGGAGAGCGTATGCGGAACCGATTTCCATGGACAGTGCGATGTTGCCGTTCATGGCAAACGAGATGGCGTTGAGGAACTCAGTCGTGTTCGGTACCAATGCGAAGAGAGTGATACCCAGGAACTTCTCATCAATGTCAGAGCCCTCGAGAACACCATCAACGGTATTGACGAGAATCTCTGCGATGATGGCATATGCGACAGTCGCAGTCAGCAGGATAGCAGCACTCTTTTGACGGCTCCAGTTCGGCGCATCGTGTCCGCCAGAGGCATGTCCAGTGGCTGTATCAAGCTCCTCGGGTGCAGCTTCTGTGTTCGTTCGTGTGTGCACGGGGCGTTCTGCATGCGCTTTGGTTGATGTGTGGGCAAGTTGCGCTGCCTTGCGAGGAGCCCTGGTAACGTCACGCGTCGCCAAAGCGGTGGTCGTCGCCGCGATCTCCGTAATTTGTCGCGCAAGTGACTCTGCAGCATCATCTGTCAGTCCCTCGACGTGGAAAGAGTGGTGCGAGACAGCGTCGCTCTCTTTTGGCGGTACCATGTGCGGTGTGTTGCTGTCCGATTTGGATCCAGGCCGACCGGTGTCTGATGCAGTGTGCTCAGGTCCAAGACCAACTTCCTGCAAAGTCTGGCTAACCATACGCTTGTACAGCTGGCTGTCGCGTATGTGCGCACGTGATATAGAATTTCCTGTCGCTTGCCTGACGAAAGAAGCATGTGGGAAGTCCATATGCCCGCTTTGACTGAGACTACTGGCGCTCATCTCGAGTATCTTCTTCTCTTGAGCATCTGGCTCCGTCCAAATTGTCGCGGCATGAGTGCGAAGGGTGAACAGAAGACCAATGATGTAGGAGAAGAACAGTAGAGCAGCCGCGAACCAGGTGTAAGGTTTCACAGCTTCGTTGTAGAAGCGATCATTGAGTGCTGGTGTTTGCGAGTAGTAACATCTACGGCAGTCTCGCTCAAGGGGAACGTGGTGATTGGAGTGCACGCATGAGTGGCAGTTGAGTTCATGCTGGTTTGAGTTAGCACAGGATCGACGTGCAATGGGGCTATACTCACGCTTCCGTAGATCTGGTAGAACAATGTCGGACCGAAAGCGCCAATGACGGCGAATAGGAGCATAGTTGAAGTGACACCAGCGGATCGCACATTGAAACGCTGAGTCTTACGCTTGAGAGCACCAAAGCACATGGACAGTCCTGGTAGGAACAAGATACCTGCAAAGATACTGCCGATGATACTGCCTTCGACAAGCTGAGCTTTGCCCTGTTTGAGAGCCACGCAGTACAGGAAAACTTCGACGACAGTGGAGAAAAAAGCGTTAATAGTAGCGCCAACACCCATGGAGGACTGAGCTGAGATGGAAGCCACGGCCTGACCAATGAAGTATGCCAACGGGATGATTGACAGCAGTGCTAGCGAGAACAACAAGAACTGATCCGTCAGCCAGAACTTCATCTCCAAGGCCTCAGCCAAGACAAAGTAGTCGAAGATGGTGAAAGCGACGAGTCCAAGGAGATTGATCAAGAAGATGTTGGTTCCGTCAATGGTGTACTTCCAGTACTTGATCCCAACTGCGCGGTAGGTACAGAGCAGGATCGAGGACGACTCTCCGGGGCGGCGCACGTTGCCGTTGTCGGAGTGGAACGAGAGCGCCAGGGGATGGCGTCGCAGATGGTCGAACAGCAGCAGGGTAGTCTTGCCCATGGGGATGGTGAAGACGAGGAACCAGCAGAGAGCCGAGACGAGGAACAACGAGGGTGTGAGGAAGCCGTAGAAGAACAAGAAGAAGACGACGCGGCCAAGGTTCCACTTGCCACGGCCGAAGAGCCTCCTCTTAGTGTTGGCGGTGTCGGTGTGGTTGACATTGGCACGTCCATCTCTACCAAGGAGGCTTGTCGTCTCTCCACCCGCTGAATCTACGCTGTTGCGTCGGCGGCCGATCAAGGAGCTTGTTCCGGTGGTTGGGCCAAAGAAAAGGCGTCCTTCTTCAATATCGCCGCTTTGCCACTGCTCGTACTCGCTGATGCTGCGACCCTCGCCCTCGTCCTCTTCTATGTAGGCCTCATCCTGCATGAGCTTGACGTATTTGCCGAAGGGGTAGAAGAGGTAGCCGGCTAGGGCGAAGAGCAAATGGGAGTACTCCTTGCAGCTTTCGTTGAAGCCCAGGAGCGCGCACAGCAGACCACCCACCGTAGCAACAGCAGCTAGCCACCATCCGAATACGAGGGTCCATACGAGGTTGAAGAGAAGCAGCCATCGGCTGACAAAGAGGCCTGGCGACGAGTGGATGTCTTCTTCAGCGTTGCGCTGGACGGACCGGCCCTTCTTGTAAAGGGCGGGCTTCCAGATCCTGATACCGAAGGGATGCGTGACGTTGATGGCATCCTGGCGGTCGCGCAGCGTGAAGCTCTCGGCGTCGCTCAGGTCGTCGTCTTCATCGCCGCCTCCGCTCTCCTCCTCCTCTGCTTGTACCGTCTCCTCGCTGGACGAAGGCGTCGCGTCGGCATCGGCGCCCGTCGGAGGGCCGGCGTTCTCCTGCTCGACCTCGTCGTCTTCGGTCGAGTCGATGGTGGCTAGGTTGGGCGGGGGCGCGGCGGTGCGGCGGCGGACGGTCGAGGGCTTGCGGCGCAGTGTCTGTCGCTGCTTCTTCTGCTGGTCCTGCTGGGCCTGGTCCAGCTCCACCTCCTCTTCGGCGTCGTCGACACTGAACTCCTGCCCCTTCTGCGGCCATTTGGACGACGTAGCGCGACGGCTCATGGGCGGCTTCTTGGGCTTGGTGGAGCTTTCGTGCGCCGTCGCTGCGGCCTGCTGGCGTCGCTCGATGCCGGACGTGATGGAGCCTGCAGTGGCGTTAGCATCGTTATATCCTCCCCGAGTCGCCAGATGATGCGCGTACCGTAGCCAGAGGGCTGCATGGCAGCTTGCGGCCGTCTGCGCGCCGAGTCGCTGGGCGTCGCGCTCTGGGTGGGCGTGTCGCTGCCGGTGCCATAGGTGCTGCTGCGGCGCGACGTGTCGGGCGACGGCTTCGCTTTACCCGCGGCGGGCGTGCGATCTTCCATGGTGGTGTCGCTGTGCGAGGGCGCTGTGAGGTTGGGCAAGGGCAGACTGTCAGACTATCTGTAGTTCAACCTTGTTTTGGGAGCTGCTGTGGTCACAGCTCAAATGCTCAAACTACGTGGCTCTCCGCACAAGTCACGATTCTGCCGCCGTACGATGACAGCTATTAGGCAAGGGCAAAGATGCATTACCGCGCTCGTCGTGCCCCTCTGGAGTGTGCGTGTGGGTGGGAGCAAAGCTGCAGATGACCCTGTTAGACGTCCCATTCCCCGGCGATCCATGACTTTAGCGCCCAATGTCTCACCCTGCTCCAGATAAGATAAACACTGCCCAGGCAAGCTGCACGTAATTATCGGCTTCCGCGGCAACTGAATGTCAACGTCAAGAATCGCCTAGAACGACGGTCGCTGTTAGTACTATTCTACGATGCAGAGCGTGGCGGTGCAAGCATGATGTCACCTGAGCTGTGGCTGGAGAAGTAGTACTAAGGTAGTCTCCTGCACCCCAACGTCCCAATCCCACACCCACCCAAGACACACGACATAAGAAAAGACATCTGCTGCTGCTAGAACAAGGCGCGAACGCCCAGATCGCTAGGTTCCTTGCAGTCTAGAACAATGAGCATTTCGATATCTACGCATGCATGCGGCTCCACGCACTAGTGTCATCAATGGTTAGCGTTCAGCCAAGCTCGAATGTCACATGCGTGTCGTCGGGCACGTGTACCACCCTTGAGCGGGCACTTTTTCCATCGACATCTGGTTCTACAGTACGGAATCGGTTCGCTTGATCATCAATCGAGATGTAGGAGCTTCTCATACTGTACCGCTGTGAAAGCTACGGCACTGCCGACACCCACGGTACTGCGGTGACGCACCAGACTCCAGCGAACAACATCAAAGCCATCGCAATCATAGGTACCGTATATCAAAGCACAATCTCGATGACCAGCCTGAGCCGGTACCAGAAAGCAGTCTAAGTCACAGGCGCACTCTATCCATTCCGAGCTACGGCACTAGTCCGCCTCGTCGTCTGTGGCGCTGCAGCCCTGCCCAGGTGGAGCCGTGAACCCCTCATCTGGCACTAGGTATGTATACCAGTCGTGTTGCAGTTCACAAGACATCGATGTATGATCGAACGTTCTATCTCTATCTAGGTAGAGGAATACGTTGTCTCGGGATGTATTCAATTGTCAACATTTCACAGTGCGTATTCAGCAACATCAACTCGGGATCTGGCCGCGCCTGGTGTCAGTAGCGCAATGCGCGAGGAAAGCCATAGACGCAGCCACAACTGGGGTACACTCAGCCGCACTCAACCTGATTCTGGATGATGCTTGAAAAGGCCGGCCCCCCGAGGTGACATATCTTCTCCTTTGGCTTCTACGAGCAAATTCACAGCCCGGGGCATTTCTCCGTTTCAGTCATTTTCCTCGTGCCGAGACATGGACCTCCTAAACATTTTCCTCGTTACTGCCAGCATTATTGCTTTCATCTACACTGTTCAACTCGTCTATTTGGATGTACTACGCTCGAGGACCGTAGATGTTTCAGATACCACTTCCAGGAAACGAGCTCAGCTCCTGCGAGTGTTGCCAGCTTTCTGCTCGATAACGGCGACAACTGCGTTAGTCTTTGTACCGATATTTGGTAACCGTCAAGTCGAAACATGTTCAGACGAAAACGTCACTATTAATCCAGATGTGGGGGGTATTGGTGTCCTGCTCGGCCTGTTTCTCCCTTGTCTTGTACTTCTTGTAGTACTGTTCCTAGGCCACTTCACGGTTCATACTTCAGGTGCGAAAGAGCTTTGCATGGCTCAGTGTGCAAGTAGGTTTCAAAAGAATAGGGATGGCATCCTTGTTTGCTGATCAAACACAGATTTATTGTATCTCACGGTTAACCTCGCCAAGGGGAAATCAGGCTTGAACAACCAAGAGCTTGTCATTGCACTCTCTAGTATCGACGCAGTTAGTGCTTCAATATCGATGGCCTTTTCAGATAAGGACGTACTTGCTGCTCGGAAGCTGGTTAGCTTCGGATTCATGACGCAGCTTGTTGCATACACTGTGCAAGCCATAGCTTTCAGCACATATACCCGGCATGACAAGTTCCAGTGCGAGTCCTCTTCACCGCCTCAGTCTCCGTCCAAGAACTCATCAACAGCATACTGGATCTACCTCGCTTTTCGCATGGCGGCATCGATACTCCCATGCCATGTAGCCTATGGTCTCACATCGAGCTTGAACAAGATTGAGAACAAAAACAATGCCACACGAAGTCCACGCGTCAAAGCCACGGCTCTCTGGAGGTCTCTACCCGCCACTATAGCCACAAGCTATCTGATCTATTGGTCATTCGTGCTACTCCATGGACTATCAATATTCAACATTTTGCGCGGAACAAACACTATCGGTCAATCATGGCACAGCCTGACAAGCGAGTGGGGCCAAAGTGCCAATGCTATCATCGCCATCTTTGCCATTTGTCATGTCTCGTACGCAATCTACAGACTGTTTGTTGCTGACAGCACAGACAATGATAGGCGGACTCTCAGGCTCAACGAGCGATCGACCAGCCGGGCCTATCCCCAAACCGGCTGGATGGCATGGAAGTACTGGCCGTGGACAGTGCAAAGATGGCCTTTCCATCTGGGATTAGACTACTCAGACCATCTCTTGGTAGACGAAGGTCTACTACAAACAATACTGAACCCGCCTCTCCAACAGACTCCAGAAATACGGAAAGAGCTCTGGCAAGAGCTGATGGATGGGTTTACTTACAATGAGCCTGAGGTCATCCTCGATTGTCTGGATCGAGGAGCCCCATTGGATGAATGCAATGACGAAGGCGACTATCCCATTCATCTGGCTGCCCGCAACAACAACATCGACATCTTGTTGAGAACGCGCTTCGTTGCTGCTGACAACATATACCTCCCGAAAACTCTTCTACCCGAAAATCTGGCTGGTGAAACCCCCTTAGAGATCGCGTGCAACGCAAACGCACACGAGGCCGTGCGGTGGATAATGGGTGAGCTGCCACAGGATTACGAACGCGCTCATGCGGCCGTCAGTCGAGCATTCAAACTGGCTATTGTCGGAGAGAGGGAGGGACTCTTGAAGATCTTGCAACAATCATGGCCTGATTGGAGAGCATTGAAGATCAAGACAGGAACAACGTCGAAAACGACTCCACTTCGCTTTGCCATAGACGAGGGAAAGGTCAAATCAGCGTATAGACTTGTCAATCCTATCGTTACGGCAAAAAGACAGCCTCATGCCCGCAGGATCTTCGACATGATGTGGAAGTCGCAGTTGGAAGAGGGTGGCTATCTGGAGATAATCCTGGACCAAGATCAAAAGAGTATCGACCTCATCCCATATGCAATTGTCGATGAGGTCATGCGTTCTTCTACCATTAGCAATGCAGAGATTCTAGAGATTCTGCTGAACGTGGGAATTGATATTTCCGCCGTTCTTCGGCAGTCCATATATTACGCGGTGCGCCCCACCACCCATCCACATCAAGACAACAACGTATGGGAAAAGGTCCTACGGGAAGACCATGTCATCGAGCCAAAGGACCTAGACTCAATCCTATCGTTCGAAATACCAGCGGACAGTAGCCCAATTCCCGAAGTAGAAGTAAAAAAGGACTCCATGAGAGCTGCTTTGAGCCTCCGCGGCGGCCAAGACTGGTCAGGGGTGGTGAAAGCATCGACAAGCGCGTCTATAGAGGATCTTGAGAAGTTCATGTATTCGGAAGATGGGACTATGTTGCAGCGTATGCTCAGTCTCAAAGACAAGGATGGTTACTCACTCCTGAGATTTACTATCTCGCACGGCATGAATGACCCCGTCGAGAAGCAAAAGCAAAGACTCGAATACACCGATCTTCTTCTCCAGCATGGAATCGAGGTAGCGGTGCCGGATCTGATGGCCGCACGTGAACGTTTGTTTCATCACGAGGGGACCTTAGCGACCTTTATGCTATTGGCTTCCTACATCACACACGACGTTGCATTGGACCTATTGTACAAAATGTGCAGCGAATCTTGGAACCGCAATGGGATACACCACAGTACGTTTGACCTGATTCACATTTTGCTCAGATGTGGCGTCGACCCAACACTTCTGAACGGAAGTGGCAAGACTCCCCGAATCGCTCTCCGTGACACCATGGCAGAGAGACCGACCAAAAAGGTTCCTATGATGGACGAGCGAGCCATGAAGCGCTTAGAAGTGACGAACCGTGCTCGTGCCTCCCGGATTTCGAAGCTTTTGCTGCGTTGGGAGAACCACGTGAAGGGTTCAGGCGGTAACAATCCATTGGAAATGCACGATTTTGACTGGCAGGCATTACGTCAAAGCATTGGGGATGAGGAGATATGGGCATGGCTGGTTCAAAAGAACCCAGAGGGTTACAAGGTGATTGAGTACTGGCACGGGTAACTTTAAAATGTACTCGGGCGCCTACGTTGCCGCAGCATCATGTCAGATTTTGGGGTTGAGGCGAATGTAGACGGTAGTGCTCCTGTAGATTTTCTGTCCTGTTTGATGTGCTATAGCTCTCATAGCGTGCTCCTATCCTGCCATGTCCTTTCTCCCGACGATCTATCTAATGAAGCGCCATCATTGATACATGACGGAGCGGAGAAGGGCAGGACAGAATGAGCTCTTAAGACAAAATCGCTGCTATGCAAACACTCGTCGACATCCGGAGAAAGTGTTGACATTTCTATGTCTAAAGAGTGTATTCCGGAGCTACCATGCGTCTCGCGTCGCGCAGACCTTACCGTCCATCCCCGTCCCAAGCCAGTACCAGGACTCAATAACTCAGAGCTGAGCCATTTCCAGACCCGCTCATCATCGTCAAATCGCAATCCTCTCCACCGCATCCTTCATAGCCCTGATCTGTCCCATCAAATCACTCGCCTCATTGCTGGTGAGGCTGACAGCCACAACCGAGCGACCCACGCCACACGCGCGTCCAAGTGCCATTTTACTGAACACATAGACGAACGGCACGTTTTTGTCTTCACACAAGAGTGGAAGATGAAGTGTGATGGCGAGGGGCTCGGCGTCGCTAGCCATGATGATGAGCTCGGAGGTGCCTCGGTTCAACGTTTTGGTTGCTTCATTGGCGCCCTTTGAGATTTGGTGGTAATGGGAAGCTTGCTGGATCAGATCCAGAAGCTTTTCGGCTAGGGTGGTGTCGGCGATGGGTCAGGCTGCGGATGGCGTAGACATGGTGGCTTTTGGAGGTCGAAAGAAGGATTTGTTTCGGTTAAGCTTGGGTTCACTGCTTGGCTCGCCCGTGGGTTCCTGTGGTTGTTAGCATGCATCTATCTATTAATCATTTCAAACACTTACACTGCCTTGCTCGCCCTTGCAAATATTGTAGTAGGTGGTGGGGAAAGGTTGTAGGTGAGATGACGAACACCGCATTTCGAAATATATCTGCCTGGGGCTTATCGATAACGACGGTATGACACGTTCCCCATCAACCGCGCGCCGTAGACCCTCACCCGCCGGCCACGTGAAGCGCGCGTCGACATAACGCGTCGCGCAAACCATGTATCACCTCTTCAAGTCGATATATCTCCATGCGACAAGTAAGGAAGGTGCGCATCCTAACCTTCGACGCATTCAGCGCACTGCAACTAACGTATCGCAGAGTACTCCGTCCTCCTCCTAGGCCTCGACAATGCCGGCAAGACGACGCTCCTCGAGCAGATAAAAGGCACCTACTCGGCCTCGCACCCCAACCTCAAGACCGTGCCCACCGTCGGCCAGAACGTTGCGACCATCGCTCTCCCACCGCCAAACCCACCCATCTACCTCAAGATATGGGACGTCGGCGGCCAACATAGCTTGCGCGGGCTTTGGCAGTCATACTACAGCAGCTGCCACGCCATCGTCTTCGTTATAGACAGCAGTGATGTGGGAAACGCCACGCTAGCCGACATGAGCGCGAATAATGCAGCAAGCATAGAAGATATTGGGCGGTTGGATGAGTGCAAGTTGGTTTTGGAAAGCGTGCTTGCGAACGAGGATGCCAGCGGCGTGCCGATATTGATACTGGCGAACAAGCAAGATCGAGAAGACTGCGTCGAAGTGGTGAGGATTAAAGAGGGCTTTGTGAGGAGAGTGTTTGAAGGCGAAAAGGGTGGGAATGTCAGAGACAGTAGAGTGCTTCCTTGCAGTGCGCTCACAGGGACTGGTGTGCAAGAGGCGGTCGAATGGCTATGCAGCAGGATGGCGTTCAACAAAGAGGCAAGACCGCCCGTCATGAGGTAGTTGAAGGTCGGCACGAAGGCACGAATTTACCCCCATTTTCGAACTACTAATTCAAGGCCATATCGATCGCAAGGTGGAATGTTGGGCCCTCAATCTTATCGCGACTTCGAAGAATATACCTTCACAGCAACAGGATGGCAACGTTTTGGATATGCAGCTCGTCCCGCGTTTACGGAAGGATGCGTTGGTCAAGAGCTTCTCCATTCCAGCGTTCGCAAATCCGCATCAGCATGCGAGCGAGTAACAGCACTGGAATGTCGTTTCTGACGCTTGAACATTAAGAGGTGGAAATCTCATATTCACACTGACGTTCAAAGGTATTTACATTCAAGCTAGGGTAACAAATTGTGTCATACTCTCATCATTCCCTTCAAAGTCCGAACCACTTGAGGTCCTCCGCCTCATGCACCGGCACAGTATGACCAACATTCAGAGCACTGTAGCCCACGAGCTTGGTTCCATCACCATACACCATCTTCGTGTACCCACTCTGCGGAGTGTTCGTCTCGTTCTTCGAGAACGAAACACCCAGCAAACCACTCCACTCCTTCAACTGCTCGCCCAAGTTAGGGATCTTGACGAGCGAGTCAGCAGTTCCGTGCCAAGTCGCCATGCGAGGGTAAGTGCCGCTGTAGCCAGGGTACATAGCCTTGACCTGAGCAACCCATTCAGCCTGCGACTTGATGACCTGGCCGTTTGCGCATCGCGGGTCTGCGGTGCTGGGGCTGGCGCCAGGGCTGCCTGCAACACAGCCTGCGGCGACACCGGAGTAGCAGGATCCTGCGGCGATGACGTCTGGGTAGGTGGCCATCATGACGTTGGTCATCATGCATCCGGAACTGCTGCCGGTGACGAAGACCTTGGTGGGGTCGGCGTTGTACTTTTTGATGGTGTACTGGATCATGTTGTTTAGGCCTTGGTTGTCGCCGCCGGCATCGCGGGAGAGACCCTTGGCTGTGTTGACTTCCCAGCAGTTGTTGTCTTTCTTGGTGGAGGGGAAGATGTTGATGAAGCCTTTTTGCTCGGCGAGGCTGTTGTACTTTGTCGACTGGGCGTAGGCTTCTCCGGTGCCGCTGCAGTAGTGTAACTGTTCACATGTTAGAGCCCCGATGGTTACAAAGTGGGTGTGATGGAAAGACGTACGGCGAGGATGATCGCAGGCTTCTCCGCAACCTTGGCAGGAACGTAGATGTTCATCTGAAGGTTAGATGGGTTCGCTCCGAAGTCGTTGACACGAGTAAGGGCGCCATTGGCAGTTGCGCAGAGCGCAGCAATGCTGCCGAGTACTGAGGTGGAGAAGTGCATCGTGAGCGTCGTGAGAGTCCGCAACGAACAGTTTCCTGCACCCTCCTGCCCTTCTTATAGCCAGACCACACTCATCGTGCGATCGTCGCCAGCACTAAACATTTCGAGCTTGTTTCCCCGTGAATACTAGCCGACATAAACGGATGCTAAGGTGTCAATCTAAAAGTTCCGAAGCGAGGAGGCACGGCTATGCGCATGTGAGAGCTTCGAGTTCGTGCGTTGTTTCAAAACACGTTTTGTTCTCCAATGGCATGCGACTGAAACGGCGTACCTACTGCTTTCGTCGGACGATGGAGGTTTTCGTTCCAACAGAGGTTAGCCACCAGGGGAATGATGTGGAGTAACTGTGCGGGATCAGGGATCTTGGATCATTACCCCGGATGAACTCCCGCCATGTATATTAACCTACTACCGAGCTTTGCTCCGGCGCACGTAACATGTGGCATTGCCTACTTTCGCATCTACGTCACTTGTTATGCTGGGTTGTGACGGTTACCGCGAGTGTTTACCGGGCACTGACACCTGACTGCAACCTTTCGGCGTGCCATTGAGCATTATGGTATCCATATGCCGTTATGCATCCCGACATCCGTTCCTGGAGCCAGCGAATATATGGACGTTGTCTGTTTTGAGGGTCCGCAGGTTGCGCAATCACGGCACTAAAGATGGGGGCTGACATGCGTTAGTATGAGGACGTGCCAGCGGCTACATCCGAAATTGCGTGAGACCGAAGTAGAGCAGAGCAGTCACAAGAAAAATGCGTCTCAAAATCGTTGTTCAATTATTCTATCAAACTCGCAAACGCTACTGGGTATCTTCTTGCGCAGTCTCTACAAGTTAGGGTGCGCCTCTTTCCACTCCTTGCTGAAAGGGTAGTCGATGTATCCCTTCTCGCTCTTGGGAACGTAAAAGGTGTCGCGGTCGTAAGGAGTAAGCTCGATGCCCTTCTCTATCCGGAAAACGAGATCAGGTGTGCTGATGAAGTAGCGTCCGAACACGGCCACGACATCGCGGTCCTTGTGCTCCTCGACAATCTTCTTCGCATCCTCGGCCTTGAGTCCACCAGCGATGAGCAGCTTGCCAGAGTAGTGGGGCAGTAGAGGGTCGAGAGAGTCGTAGCCCTCAACATCTGCGTTACCAGAGACGCGGGCCTCGACAAGGTGGAGGTAGGCCAGGTTGAATGCATCCAGTCTCTTCATGATGTCTGTGAACTGGGGGAGGGGGTCCTTCATCTTCATGCCCTGGAACTCGGAGAATGGACTCAATCGGATGCCGGTCTTGTCGGCGCCCACGGCCTCTACTACAGCCTGGGTGACCTCGACACAGAACCTGGAGCGGTTCTCAACAGAGCCGCCGTAGGAGTCTGTGCGCTTGTTGCAGGTATCCTGCAAGAATTGGTCGATGAGGTAGCCGTTGGCAGCGTGGATCTCTACACCGTCGAAGCCAGCCTCGACGGCGTTCTTGGCTGCTTGTGCGTAGTCGGAGATACTCTGCTTGATGTCCTCAACGGTCATCTCCTTGGGAGTAGCGTATCCCTCGCCCAGGGATGTTGCGCTGGAAGATTTGATGGTGATGTCGTTCGCCGCAGCAAAGTCCTTGTTCGCTACACGTCCAAGGGCCCAGAGCTGGAGGTAAATGTACGAGCCCTTCTCGTGGACAGCCTTGGTTACTGGTTTCCATGCGTCGATCTGAGCCTGAGTGTAGATACCGGGTACGTTGGGGTAACCACCAGATTGTTTCGAGACCAGGGTGGCTTCGGTGATGAGGAGGGTTCCCGGTACGCAAGCACGCTGGCCGTAGTACTGTGCAGCCATGGGCAGGATCTCATGGTCGTCGTTGACACGGAATCGTGTCAGAGGTGCCATGGCAATACGGTTCTTGAGCTCCATGGCGCCCACCTTGAGCGGCTGGAAGAGGCGGTCTGCGGACATCTTGGTATTGTGGGTGTTTGATTTTGGTAAGTTTGAGAGTTCGGACATGTAGGAAGATATTGAAGGAAACAAAAAACAGCAGCTGTGAGGGTTGAATAACAAGACTTCAGACGGACCAAAAAGGCTATATACGCCCCTACTAAGCACATCCCGTCCGATGGTTTGAAATCAGAGCTCGGTCGATCTCGGCATCCGCGCGGTATTTGGCTCGTAGAATTTTCCAAGGCGTTCCACGCCGGTGTAGACCCTGACGGGCATCTTCCTAAAGATTATCTAGTCTTTAGGTGGTAAAGTGTGCTCGCATAGAGATATGTAGCCGCTGGAAGCGAGATGGTACCTGGACTTAGCAGGAGACGGAACTTGTTGGCGGGAGCGGCGGTATCGCCGAAACCTTCGGGCCTATGACGTAAGCTGCATTGGTCTGGATCGTCAAACTGAAGGAGCGAAGGCCGACACTTCATTGTGTGTATTGATAGACGCCATCTGGATTTAGATGCAAGTAGAGCGATTGATTGTAAGAAATTAGAACAGTTGCGCGAGATTAGATCCCGAGCACGCTAAAGCTGACTAACATCATGTCCGCTTGTTTCCTTTAGAACCTTTTGCGCCCTGCGCAGTTGCTCTTCCAAATCCTCATACCAAAGCCACCGAAAGTTCTCATTGAGCTTCTGCTCAAGCTTATTCATATCATCTTCTACCCCTTCTACCATGAAGTTGTATGCTAGACCATTTTCGATACTCCTCTGAATACATCCCTGTGTTCTAGGTCGTCTGACAGCATCATAGGCCTTGAAGGCAGCCTCAATATTATCAGAACTTCCGACATCAGCTATCAAGCGACTGAGGAGAAATGCATCTTCCATAGCCATGCCAGCTCCGGCTCCCATGTGAGGCGTCGTGGCGTGCGCGCTATCGCCCAGTAGACAAACACGGCCCTTGTAGTATGGCTTATCGTGTTGAAGAGTGTGTAGTGCCCATTTAGATGGTAGAGTATGTCTCGCGATAAGATCGATGAGTGGCGGATAAAAGTCTTTAAACTTTTCACGGACCTCATCCGCACTCGTGGGTACTATCCAGTCATCCTGGTCCCAAGTGCTGGTGAGGGATCGATCGTGTGGCATGGCAACCATGTTGATGAGTTCGCCATGGTCGACAGGGTAGGTGATGCAACTTCCTCCATAACCACAGTACAATGTACCGTTCAGTGCCCTTTCTTCTCCTAGCGCTTCCTTAACCACTTCAGCTGGGGCCATAGCCCTTATCGCGGCCTCGTGAGCGTACGCTGGCTTCACATCTGGACCACATACAAAGCTTCGTACCTTGCTCTTGATGCCATCGCAGCCAATGAGTGCACTGGCTAGAGTAGTCGTTCCGTCGGCGAAGCTTATCTTGAGCATACCAGCACCCACTTCCTCAACACTCTGGAAGCTTTTGCCGAAGCTTGTTATGTCCTTGGGAAGCAACGCGACCATCTCATCGAGCAGACGCGCCCGGTGTATACGGCCTCGCATACAAAATCCAGTCGGCGCATCTGGTGTCTTCTTGGCGTCCATCTGGTGGAAACCGAGATCTCCCGCTTTAGCTCCATTAGGTCGCCGCTCGTCCATGCCCCATCTTATCGTGTTGAAGGTGTTTTCGCGTTCAGGGTCTGTGTTTATCGTGGCGTGTTTCATGTAGCCTTCCAGCAGTCGAGGATCGATAAGGTGCAATGCCGTCGTGGCGTTAGCACCGAATCCAACGCCGGCACCTATCTCAGCAAAGGCTTGAGAGGCTTCGTAGATGTGCACTTTGACCCCATGTTTTAGAAGACCAATGGCGAGCGCGGCACCACCAAGTCCGCCGCCAACGATTGCGATCGGAAGACCATTGTGATTCTGGAAGGTTGCTGTAGTTGACCCGTTTGCGAACATTCTTTGATGGTTGGTCGTTGTTCCAGGTGCCGTCCTTTTCGTGGATGCGTCGCAACGCCGCGTCTTATATTATTGAATATTCCATACGGGCCGAAGAGAATTGTCAATCAACTGCCGGACCCGACCCGCGGGGCTGGTGTACAAAGTAAGCTGATGTTAAGCCGCATACCTGGGCACCCATGAGTTTAAGTTCAGGCCGGCTTGAGGTTAATCATCCTCCCGAAGGAGACCCTGATGCGGATGACGTAATAGACTGAGGCGGGAAGGTGCGGAGGCGGGGAAATTGGGGATAGATTAACTCCACGCTAACTGGTGATAATCGTGTTGCTATCTACTCCAAACGCGCTCCAGATGATGTGGGGGACAAAGACAGCAACATGTTCCAGAACATCGTCATGTCTACCGGCCCAATTGTCTACGTAATTTCGTTTCTTCAAAGCTCATTGTGCGCCGGCACGGCCTTTTGTACATCGATGCCACAGACTGCAGGCGTACCTACTTCCATTCGGTAGACGCACTTTTCTTCCTCGACGATCTTCCAAATCTCGTCATTTTCGGCGCACGCTAGAATGACCATTGTGCTTCGGTTGGGGCCGTTCCAGCAGTGTTGGCCATTCTCGTACTTGATTGCAATCCTTTCTCCACTGCCCAAGCCCTTGCCATCGGCAGGAAGCTCTTCATCGACGGTGATGGACTCAATGCGTGCAAAGTTGCCCATGCCAGTGTGACCACCGCCTTTCTTGGGTTTCTGAGTGGTTTTTGAGAGGAAGCAGTGCTCGTACGTGTATTCGCCAGAGTCGGTAGACGTGCAGCGGTCCTTGAGAGCGCGGAAGATGGAGTCTGGTCCGTAGTCTTTAGTAAGATCTTCCTCATGCCTTGTGAGTTCCGACTTGTCGCCTTCAAGTTCCTTCTTTGCGGAGTCGAGTTGTGACTTGGCGTCGGTAATGGCCTTGGATTCCGGGGCGTCGCCAGTGGTAGGGTCCGCGAGGATACCGTTCTCGATGAGCGCGACTCGCAAGTCGCGCAGCTTGCTGTCCACCCAGCTACGAATGGAGTCGGGAAGGTACTCCTCAAATTTGTAGACTGCATGCGATAGTCAGTAGGTAGCTTTAGACGCGTCTTGGAAACATTGCTTACGGAGCTCCACGTCAGACTCTTCGACTGTTTCGAACTCGTCCCATTTAATGGCGCTCTCGGAGTCCGGCTTGAGAATCTCGTCGAGGTCGCGGTCTAGAGCGTTGTTGGGTCCCGGGCGTTCTTGCGCAGCATAGTTCTCCCAGGCCTGCACGGCACGCTTCACGCCTTCATCGTTGAAGTTGGGGTTGTACTCCTCCTTGAAGCGCTTCAACATGCCCTCGAGCTCCTCAACCCGTGACTGTGCCGCATTCCTCTCGTCTCGCACGCGGTTGACGTTATCGGTAAGCTCTTGGATTCTGTCCTTGGCGAGGCTGGCCAGCACTGTGATCTTGCCGCCCTTGCCTGCGCCCTTGACAACCTTGCCTCGCTCGGCCCTCTCGATCTCGGCGAGGCTCTTGGTCAGCCCGTCGACCTTGAGAGTCGCACCTTCTATCTGCGTCTTGAGTGTCTGAATGCGGTCCTCGACTTCCTTCCGCATACGACCAGCCTCAGCGATGAGCTCCTTCCGCCGTTGCTTCGCAGCAGTCAGGCTCTTTTGTCTCGCCTCGTCCGCCTTCCGCCATTCTTTCCCAATGGTCGCGCACTTGTCTTCGCACTTGATGCCACCCACATGCTCGTATTCGTCGCTGCCGTCACAGCATAGTTCGTAGTCGCATGCGCCGTCGTTCACGTTCGTGAAGGGAATGTAGCTTGGCTGGTGGCCCTTGTTCTTGCAGTAGAAGCCAGGAAGAGCAGGCGTAGCGTTGATGCCTTTGCCCTTGAAGCCTAGAGGCTGGGGTGGGGAGAGGGGCGAGAGGTAGGCGCACGCCGACGTGCCTGGCTCATCAGAGCCGTCGGGGCAGTCGCAGTAGTCGTCGTTCAGGCGTGCGACTGGGAGTTTGATGGCCGGATTCGAGATACAAGTGAATGTCTCGGCATCCTTGTAGTACTTTGCAACTGCACATCCACTGTCAGCTATGCTCGAGCGTCTACGCGGAAGCTCTCCTGGAGCTGTGACATGTGCAACATACATTCCGGAGCGACACCCCGCGGCCGGGCGGGGTCTGACGCCGCATCTGCGGTACTGGCTAAGATAGGGAGAATGAAGGCTAGCGAAGACACGTGCTTCCTTCCCATTTTGAATGTGGAGAGAGCAATTGGAGCTCGAGGCCTCAAGATGCTCGAAATGCCACATCGACATAGTTTCAGGGTCCACTGGCCCGTGCGCCGCCATCCGAGCTGCCCCAGCCCTCACCTCCACCCAACACTCCACGACTCCAACGCTGCAGGTCACGCCCGACCTACAAGGTCGTACCTCGCGACCCCGTATCTACTCGCTATCGTTTTGGTGTACACATCTGTCCGCAATGACGACCAGCACTCGCACATGTGTGTCGGCATCGCGTCCAGTCGGCTATAACTTCAACTGCGTATAGCCTGTGTGAGTCGAATGGAATGCGCACACTAACCTTGTCTATGGCATAACTGCTTCGCGTTTACTTTACCGTCTTTTCGAACTATGCGTCATTCAATGTCCTCAGCGCCCAAAAGTGCGTTTGGCGCTCGGCTCGGACATACCAGCATTCCTCAACATCAAACGAACAGTAGCCTCCTGCCCAGGCCGCATTACCAAATTTGCCCCCACCAGCATCATTCAATCGCGAACCTGGTGGATCTGTTCCTTGAAATCGGCCATCCATCGGGCCTACGACGCGGCTTTTGGGTGGCCGTCTATGTTCCGGTCTCTAACAAACGCTGCACATACATTTGGTTTGCTCTGTCTTTGGATCTTGGACATCCACATCCGGCTCTAGTATGACTGAATTCGCACGCTAGAATGATGTCTTTTGTTTGCATATGCGCCCAATTCGCATCAGGATTTATGCGGCAAGGTCATCAGAGTATATTTCTCTTCCTTCTCGAATTCCATCATTCTATCTCTGAACATCGATATCCATCATTTACTCATACCTTCATTTACCCACCTCAGCATTATGGTCTACGCTGACGAGGATGAGATCGACTGGAGCGATGGCTCTTTTGGTGCTCCGTCTCGGATACGCATCGACGCCGCACCCGGTTTAACTCATCACAACCCAACAGCGGACATTTACGAGGACCAAGATTCGCTTTTCGTGTCGGAAACTTACGACCAACACCAGATACCCAGTGGTGTTACACTTGAAGCTGGTAAGAAGCTTTTTCTACGTAGATGCTGTTCGCTTACATTTAGTAGCTGCTACTAACAGCAACGACACCCTTCAGAACCCTACGCGTGTTCAACGAGCTCGTGCCGGTGTTCATCTGAACCGTCGTATACCTTCCAAGGCGGACTACGTCAACTACGTGCTTTACCAAGCTAGTCAGAAGGGTTACGAAGCCACTTTTCTGAACCGCTTCGTAGCGCATGCCTTGCATCCCGACCGCCTCGCCCAGTGTTCTGAAGATACAAACAGCGGCCGCCAAAGCATCGCCGAGTACATGAAGTCTGTATCACATGAGGTCAACAGTATCACGAAGAAAATGATCTGGAATGGCCACTGCCGCACTGTACACCTTCTCGCTGGAGACGGCATGGACGGCGCGCCGTTCCTCGATCTACATACTCTCGACACCAAACCCTTCTCAAAGTACGGTCCTGGCAATCTCTTTCCTGTAGCAGAGAGAGTCAACGTGTCTTGGCACCGTACCAGCTCACATCCTACGATGGTACGATACTCGACCAAGGAGTACGAACTTGGCTACCAGGCTGGTCCATTGGAAGATCTTGACGCTGTATCTCAGACACTGTTTCGAAAGGAGAACTTCAGTATGACTTTGCCGATCGGTCGTGCCGTCAAGCTGTCAACATCCAAGAAGCGTAAAGGTCAGAACATGCCTGGAGCAGCAACCAGAGATGACAGAATGGCCTCATCTCGTCGGAACTGGATTCCTTTCCCGCAGCTGGCCACAACGTCAGAATTTCACGAGCCTCAATCCATTACAAGCAGTCCACTCGATATCGGTCACGAAGCAAAGGCGGCTGATGTTCACCAAGAGCCCCGGATACTGTCAGATCTCACCCAACTGTATCACGACCCTGTAGATGCCCTGTCTCTAGATGATGCACAAAAAGAGGGATCCCATCAACCTTTTCCTCGTTACGAAGATCTATTCGATTCCCATGATTCCGGAATGTCCATCGGTGACCAGGCTGGCGCATGCAAGCAAAGCAACGGCAACGAGCACGTAGAGAAGGTACACCACTGGCGAACCAGGTTGATCAATGATCACAAGCGCCGGCTGACACTTAAGTGGGGTAACCCACCACAGGCTCTCGATCATGCATTCCAGAACTTCAAGCAAGTTGTTACAGCAGCTATGTCTATGGGTATTCGTCCCATCGCCAACGACTACCCGAAGAAGCTCGAAACCATCGCAGCCTGGGAGCGACTTCGAGAGCAAGCCAGAAATTCTGCTCGATCACAGCAGAACAGTGAAAGCCTGTCCGCTGAAACTACCACTACCGATTCGCCTGCATCGCAAAGTCTCCCAGTAGACTCGGACATGCATACTCTCGAGTCCTCTTCCTTCTCTCCTCCACAGATCCTTCGACGAGATATTGGTGGATCGTTGAGCAATTCTGAATCTGACAAGATGCCCTCAGAGCCCTCAAAGAAGAGGAGGAAGAAGAACCAAGCCGTAGATAGGCAAGTCATGCGATGTCACTCTACCCAGCAGCAGTCGACTGCACCCAAGCCAGGCAAGCAACCGATCAATCAGTCAATCGTGAAGAGTTCGTCGGCGAATAAATCACCATCGCTCCATCCCAGTGGAACTATGACATTGGAACTACATCAACACCTTCCTCCCAACGCTTACTTCGAGCCGACCTCAGTGGATGAGAAGTACGCTTGGCGTTGTCGTTGCAAACACGCGATGGGTCACTACTACAACTCTGGGAGCCGCAAAAACTGTCGAGGCTGCAACACCTCGCTCAGTGATAATCATGCTGTTGAGATGGACTTTTACATGCCATTGAGGTCCTTTTACCACCAACCCGCACCAGACATGCGTTGGAAACCTAGTAAACAGGCTGCTCGACTTCGCAAATCAGACCGACCCTGTCACAATGCTGTGGCGAAGGACGCATATTGGGAAGCTGTGGGTACTGGTGCGACTGAAGAAGAGGCTCGGCAAATTGCTGTCGACGCAGTGGTTCATTACCTTCGGCCAAAGCCACCGCCGAAAGCGCCGACGCCTGAGACGACGCCTGAGCTAGAGCCAGAGCCCGATCTTGGTCCTCATCCTAGTGGCTCGACCACGATGGAACACGGTCAGGAGATTCCCGATGGCTATTACTGGAAGAAGCAGAAAGCAGACGAGAAATTTGCCTGGCGATGCGACGTCAACCATGGTCTCGGACGGTACTATCTAGCGGGCGATAAGAAGACCTGTCCAGGATGTGGAGCCGGCCGGACTAGTCTGGGCAAAAGCGAAGATATGGACTTCTATCTCCCGTCGGGTGTCGTGGTTCGCCAAGAAGCACCAGGTCTCTCCATATGGAAACCTAGGAAGCCATACAAAATAGGCAAACCCGCTACCACGAAGAGAGAAGCGGTCAGCCACAACCAAATGTGCGCCAAGGTGTACTTTGAACTCCTCGCCGAGGGAAACGAAGCAGAAGAGGCTTTGGCGCTTGCGATAGAGAGAGTGGACAGTGAGCTGGACAAGAAGCAAGAAGCTAAGATGAAACGACAGGAAGCGAAAGAGGAGGTTGGAGACTCAGATGCGGTTGAGGGCGCTAGCACTTCTGTCAGTGTCTCGAGGAGGGACTCCGCTGCCACGAGTCGCAACTCGAGAGGAGGTTGTACCATGTCCCTCGTCCCGAAGAAGCGTACCATGGATGACGTCATCGAAGAGAGTTTGGATGAGGCTGTGGGTGATCTTGGAGATAGGGATATGGGAGGTGAGAAGGATTCTTGTGATAGTGTTGTGATGTCTTCTTCTGATGAGGAAGATAGCTCTGGTTCAGACTCGGAATGAGGGTATACTCAAGCCATCTGATTGTAGTGAATGAATTGCACATCATGCATGCAGATTACGGCGATAGCGTACATCATCTATGGTAATTTACAAGGGGTTCGCTCCCTTTGGAAGCTTGACCTTGAACACTAAAACCTGGTTGTCAAGGTTGTAGCCAGAGGCGTCCACGTACTTGTTCTGACCAAAGTTGATGTATCCTACGTTACGTTAGCATGAGCGTAAGAACACGAATAGATGTATCTTACCGTTCTGAGTGATGAAGTCATTGTCGGAGAAAGACACCAGATAGTACTGCTTTCCCTCGTCTTCATCTTGCCTCTCGCTCCTACCAATCTTGTCGTCCTTGTCAACGGGCAACATGGCGAAGCTCTCCCACTTCTCATTCAGCAGATTCGCATCTTGCTCGCCGCCATTGTGAAGACCGAATCTGCCTAGCTGGTCGTTGTTGTTGAAGGACAGCCACGGACAGTAAGTAGCAGGCACGATGCTGCTCTTCAAGACACCATCTTTGCTTGCAATTTGTCCTTTGATGTCATCGGCCGCTGTGCCTGCGACGTTGGTGGCTTTGGAGATGTCGATCACATCCGCGTTGCGGTAGATGGACAACGTGCTTTCTGCTCCGTGACCAGCGTTAGAGTCGCGCGCTAGAACAAGGAACTGGGTTTCGGAGATATAGTGCATCTCGGACTGGCTGGCGACGCGCCCTGTTGGCAGCACAGGAAGTTGAACAGCATATTCCGCCTCTAGCGTGGTCTTGTCGTCTTTGACACGGTACTTGAGGAGGCGAGTGTTGCGACGCTTCTTCGCGGAGCTGCCGCCGTCCTGGATGGTAGCACTTTGGAGCATGGTGTAGAGGTATTTGCCATCTGGGCTGGCAGTCAGAGCTTCCAGGCCTTGGTTGTTGCCTCTGCCGCTGTCGGGATCCTCGGGCGTGATCTCTAGATCAGGGTCGTAAATGGGTGGAGAAGCCGCGTTGAAGCTCTCAGTTCCGTTACGGCGGGGAACAAGAGCCTCGGGGGTGCGAATGGCTTTGATCATCTTGCCCTTCTTGTCGAACTGGTAAACGTACGCGGCGTATTCGTCACTGATCCAGAAAGTCTTGTCGTCTCCGAGAACTAAGCCCTCGGTGTCTAGCGGAACGCGAGCACCACCGGTTCCATTTTGGCCAAAGCCGTTGCCGGTGTCTGCAACTATCAGTACTGATAATTGATAGATGAATGTAGAACTTACATCTGGCTAAAGGAAGAGTTGGGAAGCCAGGGTAGGTGATGGTTTCTGTAGGATCCAGACCAGTCAAGGGCGTTCCATCAGGTCCAGTGAGAAGCAGAGTGTCGACGTAAGAGAACTGAAAGTTCGGACTGGCGGGCTTCTCTAGAGTTGCCTCAACTGGGGTGAAGACAACGCTGAACTTGTGGATGCGGGTCTGAGTGTTCTGGGTACCCTGAGTGTTCCAACCACGATCAGGCAGGCCCCAAACAACACCCTCGTAGGAGCCCTTCTTGTACTTCCAAGACTTCTTCTCGAATGCAATGGCGCTTCCAATACCGCCAATGGTGTCGCCGAACTTGTCACGAGCGTCGCTGACAAGTTTTCCATAACCTGCTAGCTGTTCGTAGGTGTAAAGTTTGCCATTGCAGGTGGTGACATTTGCTGCAGCAGCATTATCATCTCGAGTGATGACCGGACCAGCAAAAGCTTGGTTGACGGAGAGCGCCAGAACGCCGAGCGAAGCGACAAACAACATTGCGAAGGGTGGTAGACTGTCGCGTGCCTGAGCAGATGGTTTCTGAAGAATGTCAACAGCCTATATACATGCCCGTCAGGACCGGGATGATCCCGCGATGACGCGACCCGACAGCCAGGCACACGAGGCTATCTTGATGCATGTTCAGACCAGCAGACACACGTGCGCTGTCTGTTTGGCTGCGACCGACGAGGGTACAAATGCAATAGCGGCATGGCGTTCGCAGAAGCCGTGTAAACAGGCAAATGGCGTCGAAGAAGCGGCATGTAGGAAGAGATGCTCTGCCATGGATGTCACTAAGTCATACCAGCGTGCGCAGTGGACAGCAAGCACCTTGCAGATTCCCCAATAATGACGCGAGATTCGTGGAGATGGATGCGCACGTTGCTCGAGAACATGATGTGAGTCGCTGACCGGAAATGGTGCCGAGGCAGGCGTTATCCCCGATCGGGCATGCGACATTGGCGGGCGGGTACTTAGTTCAACATAGTTCAGCTTTTAGAGAGTACAATCAAGCCGTCTTTTGACGTCGGAATCAGTAATGGAGTGAGCTGCCCAATTCGGCCGGTACCGGAAGTGGTATTCAGTCGACCGTCATTGCTCAGGTGGGGGTGGACACATAAGAAGCCGCCTTTGCCTTCATGGATACGTAATCATTGCAAGCTACAAAAGAGCATGAGCAGTGTAACGTCAACAGTGGATAGATTCCGCATGTCTTTTGTAGAAACCGGAGTTTGTATCGCATTCTACTATCTCAACTTCAGCATGCCCTGCCTGTTCATGGCAGTGCGATTGAGTCATGCTCATGCGAGTGTAACTTCCCGAGGCCAAAACATGATGGCTCTGTGGAGGGTAAGAGCTCCCGTCCCAAGCTGTACCTTTCCTTCCGCATATCCAGATCTTTCTATTGTACAGTTGCCCTGGCTGTTACTGCACACACGTTCCTCGCGACTAGAACGTCACCCTAAATCCTTTTATCACTGACTTTCGAACTTCCTACGTCACGATCTATATATCACGATACTTGCCACCGCTCTTCAGGCTCCGACTCACACGCTGACGAATGTTTGCTGTCCAGTTGACGTATTCATCGTAATCTGCAACTACCATGCTTGGGACCTCCGGCGATGGCTTAATCACCAAGCTCACCTCGTACCTCACAACCGATAAAGAGGCAGCCCTCAACACTCCTCCTTATACACCTGACCAGGAGCGCCAACCCCACTTTGCTTTCGCAACAACAACGCCGCATGATGCCGAGACAACGAGCAACGATCGAACTGACACGTCAGCGAGTCAGCCCTCGAAGGCGGGTTCTAGGCGGTCGCTGAAACGATCCGCGAGCGAACTGGTTATACCGAGCCAAGAACGGAATGAGCGCTTGACTGCGATTGCCGCGTTGGAGGCGGTGCGCTCGAAGGAGGATGGGCGCCATACAACCCGTCCGATCCCATCTCCGACACGTAGCCAGCTACGGCCTCCACGACCCGGCTCTCAGCGCTCCATCAGCAACTCCAGATACGAACTAAAATCTCAGTACCACGATCCAAACATTTCATCTGCTAGCCTTCAGAAGCAACTCGTCGAGCAGACAAAGTCCATGGCCAAGCGATCTCAAACACCCGAGCCGAATAAGAACCAGATCAAGAAGGGTGCAAGGCCAAGTCCCATCAGGTCCACTGCTGTGCGTTCAAAGTCAGAGCCAGACCCAGCAAGAGCGTTTGCAAACCCAAAGACGCGCCATGGGAACGCGAAACTGAAGCCATGTATAAAGAAGAAGGCGAAGAGTACCACAACCACACCACCGACCGGATTGCAACAAGAAAGCATCAACGCCGAGCTCAAGACCTTGCGCCGCGTGAAGACTGTCGATTTCGAAGAAAGTGGTTCGAAGCAATCGATTACGTTACCCCCGGCACCCATCACGGAAGAAGTCTCGACTCGGATTCTAGCAAGTGATACCGGAGAGAGGTTCAGGTCGGCCAGCAATCATACAGAACTCGCCAAGTCATGCCCATCATGCCCGAACACGATGAACATAGCGAAGAGCGCTGCAGCAGAGCCAGCTACTACACGGACAGACGTACATGTCATCGCCATAGCTCCCTCGTGGGACGCGCAAGGACTCACCCATGATGACAGCGCTGACCCAGCAACACCTACAATGCAAATCATCGAGACAAAGAGTGGCAGCTATGAGGTCATCTGGGACAATGTGCCAGAAGAGCATACCATCAGGACACGGGGACGACGAAGCTCGTCAGCAAGTCATGCCTTGGAAACTGCCAGCCCGAGCGCCAAACGTGGTGGCCTTGACCGAGTCAACTCGAAGCTCGCAGGATGGTCGGGAACCTGGAATAGCCCGTCAGACAGCTTCAAGCCCACCATTGTGGTGTTCCCTGATGATGATGGTCGAGCCACTCGCTATGACTGCGCAGTGGACGACGACGAAGACCTGGCAGCAACAGTACCTCCAAATAGCCGTATCACAAGCGGAGCGCATTCTAGCGTCTCATCACGTCCCGTAAGCGCGCCTCTGACCAGGAGCGTGTCGTGTGAGGAAATATCACTTCAGCACGCCCTACAGGTGACGCCGCCGCACGCTCCAGGAGCAGGATCACCACCCTCCGAGCACACTCTTGTCGTGCCCAATGTCGAGATCCCGCATACCAGAGGAAGAAACACCAAGCCATCGCCAATGATCCGAAAGCTCTCGAATCTCGAAGAAGCAGACACCAAATTTCGCGACCATCGCGATTCTGTTACGATCGCGCACTCTCGTATTGTGCATTCGGGTGGTGTGTCGCCTGAACTGTTTGCTCATAGGGATTCTGTTTCGCTGGGAAAGAAGCGCATGCACGCGCGTAACCATGCCGCATCAGCAGCACGGTCGTCATCGAGCAGGAAAGAGTTGTCTGTTGAGGCACTCGGTCTCTTCACTGAAGAGGATATTTCAACGGTGACGTTGCCGACCGTCAAGGAGCATGCCGCACAAGCGCTTAGAAACAGCAGCGAACCTTCCATCCTTCACCCGCCGCAGCAGACTCCTAGTAAACGCCACATACGGATAGTGGAGTGAGGAATCGAAGGTGCGTAATCGATGCTGGCTGATGCTCGCTGATGAGACGGATGGTGTGTCCGGATGGACCGGAGGTAATGTGGCAATGGTATCTTCTAATCTCGCTCCAAGAGCATCGACAACCTGTAGAGTATGAGTCGGATCGGAGCGCGTTGATCTCAATCTCATGGTCAGAGGGTGGTCGGTGATGATGCCGAATGCAGTGGCAGGTGGTGTGGGCTAGGGAGTCCTTGGCGTGATTATCGATAGACTCCAATTAGCGTCATCGCGTCCAAAGCATCGTCGCCGACGCCAACCCTTTGACTCTACCATGAATATGAACGAAATTGTTGCGTTGCCTTCTTCCTTCGATCTGAACTTCGATCTGAGTTCGCGTCATCGTAATGTCTGCGCTGATGTCTATCGCGGCGCGTCTGCCACTCGTGCCTGCCTCTTGCGCGATGACATGCAATGCAGCACGCCGTACATATACGCGCATGCTGTTACAATGCGTTCCGAAAGCTGATACTTCTAATAATGTAATCGATCTATGCTAATGATCCAGGGCTCGGCTTGCCGATCGTCGTCCTCCAAGCCGGATCACGTATCATCTAACGATTGGCGTCGCAGTATACGTTTGAGCACCAAAGCAGATGAAGACGATGCCGCGTCAACGCCATTGTATACACGCGCTTACCCATTTATCCTTACCAAACCACAGCTACAGTAATGCCAGCATTCGCACCACACAAGTCGACTCACGACGTTTCCATCATGGCCTTCGCGACGAACGACCCATTAAAGCCCGACCAACGATACGACGCCTTACGCAACACCGACGATCACTCGGATTCAAGTACGGAGGTTGACGACTGGGACACAGAAGATGCAGTCCGGCCGAGACGAAGACGCAAGACGGTGTGGAAAAGGCTGAAGGGCTATCGCTGGATACTGGACACGGCGCTTCTCCTCGTCATTGTGGGGTTGCTGGTGGAGAAGAGATGGCAAAAGCATGCGAAAAGCCATCAATACGAGCTCGCAGGAGACATCACAGGATTTGCGCCAAGATTCTCGCAACAGATTGTGAGCTTCAAGCCCAGTTCTGTGTTCGCCCCAGAAGATGCAGCAGAGTTCTGGAGTAACGAGACGCAACATGCATGGCTGAGCATCGTACCAGGTATGTACATCGTTCTAGCTTCTCACAGCTGAACCGTGCTGACGATATTCGTAGAGGGCTTGGGCTACGTCAACGTGAAGAACCCCTCCGAATACTCGAACCTCCCACACCCGATACACGACTATCCCAATCACACCGTCTTCACCACATCCGTAACGCATCAACTGCACTGTCTCTACACTATACTGGGCGCGTACAACTCCATGAAGCTCATGGTCGCGTCACCCGTGTCGGCAAACCCCGTCAAGATGCCATGGCACATCAACCACTGCTTCGAATACATCAGGCAGGCGATAATGTGCGCTGGAGACGTTGCACTGGAAGGGGCAGCGACAAGCTTCCCCGGTGACGAGCATGGCGAAGATCGAGGTGGAAGTGACGGTTGGGATGCGAAGCACGTGTGCAAAGACTACACACAGGTATATGAGTACCTAGAGAAGGAAACGATCAATCACATGAAGTGGATCTCATCGGATTAGTGATCCACGCTGTACCCTCGGAGGCAGCATGTGAAGTGGAGTCTGCCTCGTGCAGCGGGCCGTTTGGACAGACCCAAACGTGGGCTTTGCGCTTGCGCACGCGGGTGACGTGTATCGACTTCACCATCAGCAACCCAAGACATTGGCATGTAGCAACATTGTATACATCATATTCCAAGTGCAAAGCGTCGAATTAAAGTTATGAGCTGACTGTGCACACTATCGTAGCCTGTGTTACATTGTAACAATTTCGCTATGGACCTATGATTTCCTTCTAGCTAGCTGACTCTGATGATTCCCGCAACAAGCAACATGCCCTTCTCGCCTGCAACACATGACTACCTATCCCACCTCATTACAGTAACTTCCGAGTCCTCCGAGCATGCATACAACACCATCGGGCAGTAACCCGTTTAGGTCCAACATGCGAATTCGCAGATCTGCTGTATCAGATTTGGCGAATCACGACCCCCGCGAATCAGCCTCGGTAACGGGGCAGAGCAGGGATGCTGCAGCAGCGGCATCACCGAAAACCTACGCACGCTATGCTCTAGCCTCCGCGAGCGCATTCCCTTCCGAATGGGCGTTTACCTCAGCAGTCGGGCGCCGCTTTGCACCGTGTCCGGAGCTGAATGCTCAAATTGTAAGTGTGCCGTGGGCGTGTTAGACGATGCGTTTGTGGAACCCCTAGAATTTCGGAGGGGTGGTGGTGGTATAAGAGAGTGGCTGGCCTCGTGACTAGTGATATATTTTTGCTGCGTTGACATTTTACGACAAACCTTGGTAGTACTCAGCCAAGCCCGTAGCTATACTGAACGACCATCCGCCTCTTGGTGGTAATACCGGGATTCTTGGACAGCACTGCGGAGTGCGGAACAACGACGGAGACCGAACAGTTTATCGGACCTCGGCCGAGCAGTCGCACGACAAATCTTTCTGCGAGTAAGAACAGAGACATTGATCGCATACGGACGTAAGACAAGGGGAAGAGGACTTGGGTGTCTGTTACCTGGGCTTGGCTCAACAACAGACGCTTCATACTGTGGATTCAAGGCGGACCTGACAGCGGCTGTGTCTATTACCCTGCAATCACTCTTTCCACATCAACAACTGGGTTCGTTGCGAGGCACCGGTTAAACACCTCGTGGAATAAACGCGACTGCCTCGACGAAGGCATACAAATAGCTCCCACGAAGACGCGGCTACCCACTATCGACATTCCTCGACGTCATCACTAAAACCTTTTCCGAAAACCACTACCTTTCTCCAACAACACAATTCCTACAGACACCATGGCGCAGTCGCCACTACTTTTCATCGTTGCGGGAGCCGCCATCTCCTATATCCTATACACCCGTATTGCCCTGTACCTCGCGCGCCAGCGCTTCAAGAAAGAGAATGGCTGCCAACCCTGCACGGCGCAGTTCCACAAAGACCCTATTTTCGGAATTGATAATGTGAAGGTCATGGCATACAACAGCAAGCACCACATCCTGCTGGAAGAGAACAGAAAGCGCTTTGGACGGCTCGGTAACACTTTCCATAACAGGCTGGTTACCATGCCTTTTATTGCGACTTGTGAGCCGGAGAATGTCAAGACTATTCTGAGTTTGAAGTTCAAGGATTACGGTTTTGGTCATAGGCAGGGTGCTTTTACTCCTCTTTTGGGCCACGGTATCTTCAACGCGGATGGTGAGCGGTGGGCTAATAGCCGACACTTGCTGCGACCCAACTTCGCTCGCGATCAAGTTGCGGATATCGAGGCGTTCGAGAGGCACTTCAAGCTTATGCTCAAGCACATCCCCAAGGATGGCGCTACTGTCGATCTGCAAGAGCTCTTTTTCCGCCTGACCATTGACACCGCAACAGAGTTCCTGTTCAACCACTCCACCAACTCGCTCCGCATGGTCGGCCAAGAAGACGCAAACAACGAGGACGTCATTTTCAGCAAAGCATTCACCACCGCACAAGACGACATCACAACCCGCACCCGCTGGGGCATCTTCGACCGTTTCCGCAAGAACCCCGAGGGCAAGAAGGCTATCAGCATCTGCCACGCCTACGTTGACAAGTTCGTCGACGATGCGCTCCGTTTCAGGGAAGAATTGGATGCTGAGAAGAGCGCTGGAGGCAAGGACGACAAGTACTACTTTATCCAAGAAGTAGCCAAGCAGACTACCGACAAGAAGCGCATCCGTGAGGAACTCATCAACATCCTGCTTGCCGGACGTGATACGACTGCCAGTCTGCTCAGCAACATGTTCTTCCAGATTGCGAAGAGGCCTGATATCTATGCAAAGTTGAGGGAAGAGGTTGCGGCACTGGGAGGTCGCACACCGACGTACGAGGAGTTGAGGAACCTCAAATACGTCAAGTGGTGCCTCAACGAATGTGAGTTTGCATACTGAGCTTGATATATCGGTATACTAATTCTATCCAGCACTCCGCCTCCATCCAGTCGTCCCCGGTAACTCCCGTCTTGCCATCCGCGACTCTGTCTTGCCCCGAGGAGGTGGTCCAGACGGCCAAGCACCTCTGTTCGTACCAAAGGGAACGACCGTCGGCTACTCACCATACACCATGCACCGCCGCCACGACCTCTACGGCCCAGACGCAGACGAGTACAAGCCCGAGAGGTGGGAGACACTCCGTCCAGGCTGGGAATACTTGCCCTTCAACGGCGGCCCACGTATCTGTCTCGGCCAGCAATACGCGCTTACCGAGGCGAGCTACGTGACTGTGCGTATGGTGCAGGAGTTCAAGACTATGGAGAGCCGAGACCCGGGTCCATGGCGAGAGGGTCTCACACTGACTCTGGCCTCGATGAACGGTACACAGGTTGGTCTTACGCCTGCCTAGAAGGAGCGTAGTCAGCGATTGAGACACAGCTGTTTCGAGAGGTGTCAGATTGGGGAGGGCGGTGGGAAAATCCAGCACGACGAGTTGTGCTTGCTTGCGGAATCACTGGGGGTCTCACCCGTCATGCCACCTACTTGGCCAGGAGAGATGCCTAACAGGAGAAGGCGGCTATCATTGTTCTAGGGAGTTCTGTTCATATGGGGGCCTTTCAGAGGCATTGCATTTTGATCTTCACTGTACTATACCTACTACTACGAAATTCTATGAACTCTAAGGAAGCTGGCAGAGAGGGTGACTTGCTACTAGGCGTCCTCCCGAAGCACTAAGACATGCTCGTGCATTCGGTTAATTCACAATGTTTCGAACGTCTCACTTTCGTGATTAGATACAAAATAACAGTGCTCTCTTCGCCAGCGGCAATCAAACCTACAACATTACTGCAACTGTAGTGAGCCGAATCGAGACTAGTGCCGGAAGTCCGCAACTGAGACCCCAGACACACAAGT